ACCAGATTTCCATTAGGAGTTCTGTTTTTCAGAATAACTCCACTGTATGTAAGMGTTTGACAGCTGTCAAAAAAAGATTCAGCATTCTGAATCCTAATGAAAGTTTTTTAAATATTAAATCTAAGATCTATGGTGTATCAACACAGATGCTACAAAAAGCTTCCTCATCATTACAATATACTTTGAGGTATTAACTATTCTACTGAATACTACTAGGAAACTCAGRGAAGAAAGCCAACAACCACCCTGAGCTTCCTGCAAGACTGCAACAGCAATTCAAGATACAGAATAACAATATGAAGCAGATGAGATGGTAAGATCTACTGTAAATCACTGGGCACAGAGTTAGCATATGGGTAGATTATAAAATATTAGGCTTGAGAAAAAAAAAACCAAAACAGTAATTATATGTTTAGCTTTTTTCTTTTTTTTAATCAATAATTAGAAACTGTAAAAATGTACCCTAATTCACTACAATAGACTATGCCCTGAGAAGTAACATTACACACTAAGCAAAAGCCACTAGGAAGTGTCAGGTCTGTAGTTTGATAGCATAATAGATGTAATTCCCCTGGATGCGTATTTCCTCCATTTTTCAGCAATAATGTTGCTTCTTTAGAGGAAAAAACTAATGGAAATACATGCCAATTCTAGTTTTTCCAACTTAAACATTTTTTTAAAAAAAGTTCTCATTCACACTCTCCCTAGGAAAACTGATGGATTCACAGATGAAGCTCTTGCTTTTCACATCTGAGAGAGGATATAGGCCTGGCATGAGGTTCTGAAAAAATTGAGCCTGATGAACTCCATTTAAGGATATCAGTTAAAGAACTTTTTGGGAGGTAGTCAGAGTTACTCAAACACAAAATTAGGCCACCTCACCAATGGTTTGCTACATTCTTCTTTGCTGATTGGAACAGAGAAGAAGTTGAGAAGAAAACATACCTCTGAATACATGGGGAAAATTATCTTGGACAGGGATACTGAAACTTTGAAACTAACTTGAATGTTAAGTGCATTTGAGAACTGGCGAGTTACACCCTTTCCTTTGTATCTGACACTGATAACACAGTAAGATCTAATTATAAATACCTCTCTTCACCCAGTGAGTACAAAAATGCATTTAGAAGTGACATCTATATTTCAGTGTCAGTTCACTGCTTTCTCCAAAACTGCTCTAGAAGACACAATTCAGCAGTCGTGGGCTTTTCTCCCCACATGGTAAGTGCAATGGTTCACCTCCTACTAGATTAAAAAAAAACCCAAAGAGAACTCGTCCCTTACAAGGCAAAACAAACTAAGCTAACAGTAACTTGTCAAAAAATTCAATCATTAAATAGATAAAGTCTAAAGACTCTCATCTTAAATTATTCTCTGGTAGTCACATTTTGCTCAGAGTATTATATGTTTTTGAAAAAGTATGTTTTTTGAGTCTGGTTATGCAAACAAACCTTTCCAAAACCCTTTATTTCTGTTCATCAATATTATACAGTACTGTTTTAAAAATTCATTAACTATCTACTTASGAAAAATCTCACTGCCATCCATAAGGTCTAGCCACACATTCTAATTAAGCAGCACTAGCACAAAACTGGAAATGCAGAAATTTTGATTGTAAGACAAAAACCTAAGCTTTCTCACTATATTATCATTTGGCTTATTTGTCTTAAAGCAAATTACATACAAGGTAATTATCAAATAATATAAACTGACAAGTTAGTTTATCCCCTATTTAAAAGACACATGGATTTTGTTGTATAAAGAATATATAAGCAGTCAAAACACATATGCAGACATGAGTACATTAACAAATATTAATCAGAGCAGCTATAACAATTATAGCATTACAATAACTTCATACAAGTTTCTTATCATAGCTATCTTTAATGCTGCATGTTTCTCCAGTGACTGTAACATACAAGATAAACAAAATGCCAGTGAAATAACAGTTACTGTATTAGCAGCTGAGAATTTCACTACTTAAAAACATGATTCCTTCTATTCCAATTTCTTTAGTTTCAAATTACATTTGTTCCTCGAAACCCTTTGTACAAACTTATTTCTAAAAAGACTAATCCAGTGAACAGAAAGAATCTGCATCAATTCAAATGACACACAGGACAAAAGAAGACAAGATTAGGAAAGACGCTTTGTATGTTTACAGACGTATAAAGTTTGATTTTATATTTGAAGAGACTTCAGTGAGTAAGAGCATTGTGTTCTGCAGCTTCTGCTGGACATTTTCTCTGCAAGAATGTTCACTAATTATAGTTTTAGTCTGTGATCTCCGAAACAAAAAACAGCTGAAATACCTTATGTATACTAGCTGTGCTCAGTATGTTAACTACTAATGGCCTAAAGCCACTTCGTTTTTTTTCAAGCAGTGCCCACACAGGACTCTGCAATAATACCAAGTGGTTAGACAGGTATGCTGCAAACATCATAGTTCCAGAACCTCACATCAATACTGTGCTTAATGCAGTACATTAGAAGAAGTATTTCTTCAATCCTTTCATCTATGAGGCTTCAGGACACTGACAGTTCGAAGCCATTTAAATATAATTTTGATCTTTCATATTTTTTATACAGTTTTTGTATCGTTACCATGAAAAAATTAAAGCTCAAATTCAACAGCTTACTGTTTGCATTTCCTTCAAATAGAAAGATAGGACTTGTTYCAATTTCACTGTTACTGTTAATTTTTCTGGTCTGCAAACATTTCTAAATGCAACTATTCTAACTGAATTGAAAAAATAAAGTCTGGGGGAATATTTCCATCAGACTTTAAAAATCCACACTTAGGAGTCATTGGTGTTTTGCAAAAGTAGTAAGAACATCAGCACCATCTCTAATCAGAGTTCTCAGAACATTTTCCAAGTACTAAAATTCAGCAACCTTGCCTTCCCACAAGAATGCATCACCTGTGCTGACATGAATAGGAACTACACAGACGTATATGAGGGCACCTGCTTCAATGTTTATGATGTCAAGTTCAATAGCACAGAACTTCCACAGTACAGCTCTAAGAATGCTAAGACTACCAATTATAGTCTGGAAGAGCTACATAATGGGTTTCAAGTGAGATTCTAAGATTAGTATTTTCTTCTGAAAGCCTCAATCATTAAAGTGCAAGAAGAGAGGATCTCTCCCCTGCCACAGTTCAAGAAATGTTTGTTATCATGCTCCCACTTCCAAGATTGCTCCTACATTTTTCTCATGAGCAGGTAATTTTTGCCAAGGTAAACAGAACACACACCTACATTACTAAGTAACCTAGGACCAGGAACCTGATCTTTAATACATTACCCCCTTGACTTCACCGTTTCCAGGTTCGTAAGAATCATTAATGGGACACATTAATCAAGCTGACCTAGGCTACCACCCATGCTTTAATGTATCATCCATATTCAATAAACATCTGGTCCTCAGGCATGTGTAAACATTCTTGCCCAAGTTAAGTTCTTAAGTTCAGACTCCTGTTTGAACTTGAACCTACCCATTTGTCAGTGATCCTTGAAGCAACATCTTATGACAAAACTATCCTCTCAAGCAAATCGCACACCTCCTTCAGACAACAATTATGTTCTGCAACTAAACCCATCAACCAAACCAAGACGGCATCCCATAACACCTCAAAACAAATGATGGTGTAATGGACTACCTATGAAGAGGTAGCTGCAGATGCCCTTTGAGACAAAGCTTTGACACAGAGATGCTCAAGCCTACATCAGCCTTACCTCGGTACTGTAAACAGAACAGTGTACATTTAGAAATGTCATTGTTAGCTACTAGTGCCTGAAATGAATCACAAACATACTCTCAAAGAGTGAAGGTAGTCTGTTTTCATTYTGAAATGCAAGAGTAAACTCCATTCATCAAACTACTTAGAAGTGCTGGAATTTCACATTTTGAGTGCTTTTTTGATTCAAAGTGATACCTTTTGAGCAGGCTACCTGTGTATTTTCTCCCTCATTGTTTCTCTCTGCCCAACAGAAACAGCATCTCGAAACTTATCATGGTCAAGAGGCATTTGGGGCAGGAGATATATACAGCAATTCTGGCAAGGACACTAACTTGAAAATGTAATCCCCCCAGAGAATAGTCTGCTTTTAAAGGAGGCAATGTTGCTATTGTACAGATTTCTACACTTGCAGAATGTTTGTCCTGGTCTGTGGACCAGCACAATTCTACCAGTGTAAAAAAAAAAAAAAAAAAAAATCCCTTTTACAGGTAAGTTCTAAGGAAATGACAAAATACACCATTCATATTTGATTTCAAATTCCCTTAAAATTTTCAGTTATGTAAACAGAGATATATGGTTGGAGAAGAGCTCTTAAAAAAACCCCRAAGACTGAAGCTCTACAAAAGAACAAAAGGGAAGAGTTAGCTCCCTCCTGCTGTKGCAATTTATTTTTAGCTGTATAGTCTCAATGACCAGTTGCAAGGGTTACTTTTTACTTCATGCAACATTGGACTCGTAAGGTCTTGGTAAATATAAGTTACCAACGTGTGATTGAGAGCAGGGTCAGAATCTGTAGTGTAAAGAATACATTCAGAAATGTGTATCATGTGTGATTAATTCTGGATCGTTGAGACACAATAAATAAATAAACACCAAGTAAGAAATGAAGGTAGTCTCTTTAAAGGAAAGTATTTCCAAATACAGTCAAATACAACTCTGACTGTGAGTGTGTGAACATACGTTTGAGCTATTTTCTGTCACATTTTCCTGTATCTGCTTATCAGGATTTCTACCTCATAGACTTTCCGTCAAGCTAACCTCACAGCTAATAAGCAAACAAAACCCCAACTGAAACAGTAACAGGCACGATTTCTCCAATACTGTTACTCAAGCCTTCAGACAGAATCACTGTGTTCTGCTGTTCTACCAAACATTGCTATACAAAAACAATAGCACTCACTGAATATAGTCTGGATCCAGTAAGGTATTAGCATGATGCCACACTGGATACTACATACTACATACTACATACTAGCTGATACTGACAGATTCTCCCATTCTTTTTTTCACACACTGTTTCACAAGCATTTCAAACTTTTTTTCTTTAACCTCCTTTTTTGTTTTAAGTCAAATGATTCAGAGTCCACCTTAATGCAGAAGTTAAAACTAAGAAAATGTCATGGCAGGAAGCTGACAAGAGTGATTTCTTTAAAAGATTAAGGAAYAAACTGCATTTGCTTAAGAAAAAGGTATGCCAGTTTTTTTAATAAGGTGACAGACTTCTAGTCTGAAATTGAACATTAGGACTGACCATCAAAAGAGAAACACAGAGTTAGCTAACACTTGCAACCAAGACATGCATTTGTGTCTGAAAAGAGAATATTGCACTAAGAGAAGAACCCTGAAAACTTTAAATGATTCCTTCACTGACCTAAAAAAGTCACTAACCATTTTCTATAAGCAGTAGCAAACCTGGCTTGGTCCACATCCCTACAAGTCGATAATACTTTATCAACAAACCGGTATTCCATTTCTGGACCAAGAGAGTCCTGCATGGGAGCACGCTTCAGGCGTTTAGTTTCTTGGGTATAACCTTGTTTGTTGCTGCATTCATTCAAACCATCAACATCCATAGCTTGTGCCATGTGACTTGCTGCAGGACTGTGGTGGGAATTATTCAGAGTTTCATCACTGCTGTCCACAGATGATACCACTGCACTCAGGAGAGGAAGTTTGTTGTTTAAGTGCTGTTGAAGGTAGAACACACACCTTCTTCAAAGGAAAAGAAAAGAAGAAAGAAAAAAMGTCACGCGCTGAAAATAACCTGCTGTTGCTGCTGAACTGCTTCATTTGCCATCCCACCAGGTTCCCTTGCAAACACAGAATCTGRTATCTCTGCTCATGCTTGACTCTGGGTCACTTTGGCAAATCTACTGTTATCTAGTCAAGAACCTGCACCCAGCTAGTAAAGCAGAGGTTTTCTGAAGCCAATTTTCTTTCCACATTTTGCTTATTTTATGTAGTGTAAACACTGAAAGTATCAGGAAGCTGATTAACAGCACCTTGTGTCTCTCGCACAAACTATAGGGACAAGCGGAGCTTACATTGACAAGATATTTAAGACAAATCATATTTCCCACACCATAGTTCTGATTATGCTCTTGAACATTTTCAAAAAGCTGAATACATAGTAGCTTAGCAATATTTTATTGAGTGGCACTTTCTAAAAACAAATTATTTGTTTGGAAATATCACTCAAAGAACCATCCACAAATCAGAAGACAACTCTTTTGATCAAGTCCTCTTACCTATGACACCATAAGGTTTCATGTCCTGGGTAATTATCAATCAGTTCAGTGCAGAGCTCCATCTCTTCGTCTAAACGGCGGGAGAGATCCACGCTTTGCTCCTCAGCACAGGCACCTTCTGTCCCTGCACTCTCTTCCTCCTTTTGAAGACCAGGATTTTGTTCATTTACCATCTGGTTTTGTATCAATATATTATTGTCAGTCACTGTTCTGCGTATCAAGGAATTGAGTAAGAACTGGCGGTAATGAAATCCGCTATGGTCCGAGACATGCATGGATACCCAATATTTAGTGGATGAAAGTTCATCGAGGAGAACCTGAAACACAATGTAGGGATAGTTATCAAACAGTATAAAGGAGGAACCTACCACCACCATATTAAGGTAACCTCTTCTATGGGGATTTCAGCCACTGTGGTAATGGTTCATGAACCCACAGGAAAATGAAATATCACTGAGCTTTTTCCAGGCTGAAAAGCATCTTGGCACCCTTGCAGATAACAAATTAATACTTCTTCCAAACTCTGAAAAGTCAGGTTTTTAAAAAAGCAGTCCACAGGCTGCGTGAAAAAAAAACCAAACCACTTATGACATGCAATAAGCAGTGGTTTAAGAATCTCAAGAAGGTTAGCAAAAAATACTATTTTGAGAAGGCACACACTACACAGCTATTAGCTTTCAGAATTTTTTTTTATCCAATGGATTGTGGGTGTCAGAGGCTGGGTGAGTTGCTTAAAAAGAAAAAAACCCAACTTCATTTAYACCCTCATATTCCATGAGAGAATGTCAACCATAACATTATGTTTAAAGTACTAGAGCCAGTGAAATACGAAACTATTTATCCATAATGAGGTTGCTTGATTTTACTACTGAAGAACCCCTAAAAAGACTTTCTCAACAGCCCTGGGAAATACTTACATTGTCATTTGTAACTCTGTTTTTAACATTGCTGGCTCCTATGAATTTTCTCTTAATTCTGAGTGCTTTTAAATCTTCAAAATTCATTCCTGGAGAGAAATGCAAGTTTGGCTACTAAGCAAAGCTTCTTTTACTCTGCTTTTTCTGTTAGAGCCAGTGGTTTTACTTTTCCACAAGCCTTAAACTCTTTCCTCATACTGCTTCTCCTTTGGAGTTTAAACTCACCACAGAGATCAAAACTACCTTCTTCAATCACTTCTAAAGACCTTGAATATAATCATACTGGTAAGAGTCCTGCTTTTAATGACCTCTCCTAAGCTACCTACATCACTTAACAGGACCAGCTGATGCAAATCAACTTTCACAGGCAGAAGTCTTTTTGATACTGCAGCACAAAAGCCACTGCTTCCCACAAAGAAAACCATGGAAACACACMAGGCTAGCTGTACAGCTTTTGTTGGGGCATCTGTTCTAAAAGGAATTGGAGAACATACAATGCAAACAGTGTCTTCTACACAACACACTCAAGATGTTTTTCTGAATCTTGACAAAAGATGCCAGCATCACCATCCTTTTATAGATCAGCAAACCGAAGTTCAGTATTAAGTAACAGTCCACAAACAGAGTATTTAAGGAACTAAAACTCCCCATGTCCAGATGTGCATTAGATCTGCTTTTCCCTTCTCAGTAGAATTTAGTATTTTAAGCTTCTGAACTTTTAAAATTTATAAGCCTATTAAGAACAACATAGGGCTCAGAAAAGCCAGACCAGCCTTTATTCAGCTGTGATTGATACTACACACACTTAGGAACTGGAAGAATCCAATTCATTTATCTGAAATATTTATAAGTTACAAATTTACAGGGGAACATTTTAATTATGCATTTTAACTCCCTGTACAAAGAGAACAAAATTATTCCTGGCATCACACCTTACCTGATCAAGCAACACAGATTACCATTAAAACTTCTTGAGATCTACAAAAAACAGAGTCTCTCATCTAGAAACCTCAGAGTACCAGTGGAAGATGCTTCAAACATGAAGTAAAAGAAAAGGAAGCTAATGTCTGAATTCCAAAAGGTTGTTTCTTACAAAGCCAACTTTCTCCACTTCCATCTCTATGGTACAAGCCCTTTGTCACTGTTCCGTGAAGCAAAGAGGAAACTACATAAAAACACCTCCCTCCCCACTCTTGACCACCTCTTTTCTACCTCTGCTGGTGAGCTGACTATCWTGGAATAGGCAGCCTTCCCCAGAACAGGGCATGTGTGTGCACTGACCTCTGTCTCAACCTCTGGCTCTGCACTGCCTCTTTACACTCTCTCTGACCCTGTGCTTGCTCGTTTAAGAGTGCTTTTCCAATCATAAACCCCAGACCAAAATTTTTTCCCTAGTCTGGGACATTGGGGAAATGAAAAGAAACTGTATCTGGGGGAACAAACTTTCAGGGATAACCAGATAAATATAGCAATGCTCACTCACAGAAAGTAGTACCTTTGGAGACCCAGCCATCTAAGAAAACGTCAAGGCCTTACTGGGAATGGCTACCAGAAAAATTACTTTGTGTCTCAGGAACATGGTTTTGTCTTCTGGGCATCAYACAAGAGAAGTGTTGTCTCATGACAATTACCCCACGACTTGTTCGCTTTCTAGATTTATTGTTGGGTTTATTGTAGGGGTAAGTCAATATCCAGCCTGTAATTATGAAATGGGAGTATTCCAATCTAAGGAAAACAAAAAAGTTTGTCAATCCTTGCTGAACTGATGGTGCTGGTAGCAAGATTTCTTTCTATCTGCATGATTTCACTGAAGCAACATGATGTGTATGAATTTTAATAGACTATACCCCTACCACTCTATTATTCCAGTTCTCTAATTATGCACCCTCCTTTTAGGAGGTATCTGAGGACTATGATCTAACCCCCCTAACTGTACAGTCATAAGAAAAAGTTGAAATCAGGCTTTCCAAGGCAAGTACTCCAATGCAGAAAGATTAGCTTAGCTTCAAACAATCTACTCCTGACAAATCYTTGATTTATATTCATGAACACTATTCAAACTCTACATGAACTTGCTAATACCATTCAAATTCTGCAGCTAGAATAAACCGAGATTTCTATATTGAAAGAAGTTAATGTTTTTGACTGTCTAGTGTAAGAAAGAAGTAACATCTATATCCTGTGAGAAAATCCTCCTACCAGGCCGAAACTTTCTCCTCTAGCATTTTAAATCTTTTCCCTAGAGCTTGAGCTGAGATTCAGTCTCCAGTAGCATTAGGATTATCAAACCAAAGGAAGAAAACCAACCAAAATCCTATTAAACAGCCTACCACTTCAAATAATCCAACGCAGGCCAACAGCTTTATTAATGATAAACCTATTTTGAGAAGTCATATTTAAATGATAATACAACATATCCTCCATGTTTCTGGGCCTCTGCTTCTTTGTATGCTTCAAATTACAGGCAAAGTTTGTATTATAGCAGAAATATAGCCCTAAATAATACAATTATTCATCAGTTTCAGGCAACATTGCAAGAACTAAATGGCCATAGAATCAGTGACTATTTTATTTGTCAATTTCCCAGCATGGGTTCCAGTCCTGCACCTCAGTGAAATTTATCATACTTTTCAGATATTCAAACAAAGAAATTGCTGAAGGTACAACATGAGATACGAAGCAAGTAAACAACCTATATAGAAGGGTATGTGTATATGTGTAGGGATGCGGTCAGGAAAGCCAAGCCAAATCTGGAACAGGAGGTGCAAACAATAATGAGAAGGGATTTTTTAAGTACACAGGTCAGAAAAAAGACCAAGGAAAGTGTATGCTCCCTGATAAGCAAGAAGGGTAAATTGATGGCAACTCATACGGAGAAGGATGAAATACATACTGAGTTCTTTGCCTCAGTTCTCACTGGCAGTCAGGCCTCCCTCTTCTCTCAAGTCCCTGATCCTATAGATTCATTYTGGGGGGAGGGAGAACCCTCCCACTGCAAGCAAAGAGCAGCGTCAGAACCACCTGAGGAAACTGTACAGTCATAAGCCCATGGGATCAAAGATCCACATTACAGAGTTCTGAGGGAACTGGTTGATGTTGCCAAGCCACTCTCCATCATATGTGAAGTCATGGTGGTTAGAGGAAGTCCCCAGTGAAATGAAAAAGGGAAACATTGCTCCAATTTCTAAAAAGGAGATAAATGAAGATCCAGGGAACCGGAGACCTGTAAGCCTCACCTCTGTGCCTGGGAAGATCATGGTGCAGATCCTTCCAGAAGATATACTAAGGCACATATGAGACAAAGAARTGGTATGAGGCAGCCAGCAATCATGTCTGACTAATCTGGTGGCATTCTATGATGGAGTTACAGCAGAGGTCAACAAGAGAAGACCAACAGATGTCATCTATCTAGTTTTCTGTAAGGCCTTCAGTGAGGGTTCCACACGACATCCTTATCTCCAAATTCAAGACAGATGGATTTGACAGAAGGCCTATTCAGTGGACAAGGAACTGGCTGGATGGATGCAGCCAGAGCAGTGTGGTCAATGGCTCTGTGTCCAGGGGGAGACTGGTGATGAGCGGTGTCCCTCAGGGYTCTGTCTTGGGACTGCTGCTCTTCAGTACCTTCATCAGTTACACAGACAGTGGGATCCAGTGCACCCTCAGGACATCCACATATGACACGAAGCTGAGCAGTGCAGTTGACACAACAGAAGGATGGAGTGCTAGACAGGGAGTTCTGGACAAACTGCAGAAATGGGCCCATGAGTTCAACGAATCCAAGTGCAAGGTGATGCACCTGGGCTGGAGTAATCCCAGACATGAGTTCCCAGACTGGAACTCAATGAGAACAGTCCTGCACTTGGGTGTTTGCATGGAGGAAAAGTTGGACAAGAGTCAGTAATGTGCACTTGCAATCCAGGAAACCAACCACACCCTGGGCTGTAAGAGAAGCAGAACAGACAGCAAGAGGGGATTCTGCCCCTCTGCTCCACTCTGGTGAGACCCCACTGGGAGGACTGCATCCAGGTCTAGGGTTACCAGCATATGGATGCTGACCTGTTGGAGTGGCTCCAGAGAAGGGTGACCAGGATGCTCGGAGGACTAGAGAACCTCTCCTATTAGGACAGGCTGAGAAAGCTGGGGTTGCTCAGCCTGGAGAAGAAAAAGCTTTGGGGTGACTTCACTGTGGCTTTTCAGGACCTTAAGGGGACTTATAGCAAGCAGGGAGAGAGACTTTTTATGTGAATAGATAGTGACTGAACAAGGGGCAATGGTTAATGAAAGAGAGTGGTTTAGATTGGACATTAGGAAAAAATTCTTTACTATGAGGATGACAAGGCACAGAAACAGGTTGCCCAAGAGAGGCTATGGYATCCCCATGCATTGAAGTATTCCAGGCCAGACTGGATGGCATCCTGAGCAACCTGATCTAGCGAGTGGCACCCTTGCACACGGCAGGGTGGCTGGCATGAGATGGAGGTCCCTCCCAAGCCAACCATTTTGTGATTCTATGAACCTGCATAGCTTTGTGAAAATCTGTAATGCCTGCTTTTTCCCTGTTCTCCTTTTTATTTGCTTTTTTCCTTGCATCACATCTCACAAATAATCACTGTATAATTCTGCCTTTTGGAGTCACCTAGACACAAATTTTATCTCAAGTTTCTTGCTGTCTTTTGTTTCCACACTTTCTCCCTTTTCCTGAATCCCAAACACCTCCTGCTAGGCCACCTGAAGAGATGCACTGGTGATGTCTTCCCRTACATCCATTAGCAACAAGTACTAACAGAGGAACAGAACTTTGTACACAGGCAAGAAAAATGTGTTATTTCTGCTGAGCAGAACCTGCTTACACTGAAATGAAAAATGTAAAACATACTGCAATATTTTGCCCACTTTCTCAAAACATTCTTAACCACCTGTCATAACTCCATTTAATACTCCTCATTCATTTAATATGATCTACATAGCAAATCAGTATTTGGAGGTTTTGGACAAAAGAATTCAGGAATTTATTCACTATTATGTTATACCTTGACAGTGAGCTTTGCCAAATGCTGTAAAACCCAGATGCGATGGGACCAGGCATTGTAGTTGCTTGGATATCTCCCAGCAGCTTCGGAGCAGACATTCATTTCCTCCTGCACAAGTCGGTGTATTCTCTCCACAGGTGCTGCTCCCAAGTTTCCTTTAGTCGCAAGACTGGGCAATGAGTTTTCCTGAATTAGTTGTTGCAGCACCCATCGTCTGGTTAAACAATGTAAAGTATTAGTGTGAGAGAGCAATTTTAAGAGAAAAAAAAAGTTTTTCACTTACAGAAATCAAATCTTTCTAACATTTCTATTCTCTGAACTCCACTGTACCTAGGTAATGCATGAGTAGTAAAGCTACCATCTGAACACTTGCCATACCGAAATATATGACAGGGTGATCACACTCCAACACAGCTGTATCAGTTTGCTCACTGTAAGTGATCATGACTACTTAGAGCATACTAAAATAAAACAGAAGGAAACAGCAAATTTATTAAAAAGTGTGAACTGTGTGAATGAGATTTCTAAGGAGCTCCTCTTTCAAAGCCTTGCATAGCACTGAAATGAAGTATTCAACATGAGATAGAAAAAAACTGATTCAATAAAAAATGAAATCCACTTTGCGAGTATCTTTTACATCATCAGTACTGCACACAGCAATTCAAATTCATTTCTGTACATCTCCAGCAGCAGCAAAGTCCAAAAGGCTTATGGTTTCAAGGGCTATAAGTATAAGCAAACAAATGTTTCTGCTGATGCATTACACATATTTGATTTCATGTGACTGAGATTCCTACATATTTTGTTTTTTTATTTTACTTTGGACAGAGTTTTAGTATTTTTAGAAGCAACTGCAATGCTGCATCTGCAGCCCCTACACAAAAGGGTCCTACAAAACTGGATTACAGATACGTAAATTTCCACAAAGCAGCACATGTCAATAGAATTGCAATGGCCCAATAAGGAATGCTCTCGAGAGCAAGACATCCTCTTGTCTGTGACAGAGATTCTCCTGTTTTGTACTGGGTCACATCAGTTCCAAACCCAATCATTTGCTACTTTCAGGAAGGTGTCACTCCTGGTTAAAAGAAAGCAATAAATAAAGTAAAAATAATAAACTAATTTTCTTTAAAGACAGAATTCTATTTTCCAAGCCAGATGTAGAATTTTATATATATATATATATAGAGAGAGAGAGAGAGAGAGAAATAGATAAGTAAACCAATGTATAAAAACCAAATTGTTAATTTATCTGCTTTTTCTCTCAATTGAAAATATTTATAATATACTTGCTCACTGACGGTTTTCATACACATTGCAAATTTTCTATCAATTTTCAACAAATTACAAAGTACTGGAAGACAATATTAAAGATAATCTGTAAGAATGCAATTTTAAACTGTTTCTGTTTCTCAGCAGAAATTACCAGCAGTTTATGAACACTTTCTTCCTATACACCTTTTATTTTAAACAAAGATGTACAGCCAAGCAAACCAAGCTCTGACTGTTGCGTAACAGTATTTTATGAAACGTAATTTTTAAGACCTTATTTTTGATTTTTAAAAATGTCTTTGACCCAAATATCACCTTTTAGCATTCTTTTACTTCTGTCCACAGATTTGCAAGCAACAAAAAATTCAASAACAGTCTAGGCAATAAATCTAAATGAGCATAATCACTCTTTTAACAAAAGATACGTATTATTTCATTAACATCAACTTCTGAGTTAAACCATATGACAAATTATTTCAATTCTAGAATTATTTCAGTTTCCAAAAATGAGCATGTTTTATAAAATAAGGAATACTGATAAACTTTATAGACAGGAGAGAGTGAAAAAATAAAGACCTTGTGGTCTCCATGGCTACAACATTAAAAAAAAAATTGAACTACTTTCTAGACAAGGCAATCACAACCTCAGAACATCTAAAATGTATTTTTGGAACCTGTTGAATATCATGATGATGGTGTTTAAGAAAAAATTCCTCCAATTAATTTGGAGTCACTTTCACTTTTGTTTGCTCCTACTACTCTTACAGTTCCTGGAATTACTATAAACAAAGGATTGTTAAGTGACAACTGCACAATCAATAGATGCAATAACCGCATCTACACAAAATGCATCGCAACCCCCTAAAATAGAGGGCAGAATGTCATCTGACAAAATTAATAACTAATATTCTGACATCTTTAGTGAGTGCATCCACCATACGTAAGAAAAAACAATTTGGGTATGTTTTACTGAACATTATCTATAGCCCCATGATAGGTTTTTGCATTTTCTGTCAGAGATTTAGCACCATGGGGGAACAGAAAACCCAAAATTAATCATTATATTCATGCAGAAAAAAATCTTTGCCCATCTTATTTTCTAGCATGTATCAGTCACGGTCAGCATATCCAAATCCAAGCCACACATTTGTACAATGATCCTCAAATATACTTCTCTGATGTAGGCAAATAAGAGAAAGAACAACAAACTATGACACTACTAAAATACTTCTAATTTCGATTTGCATAGAAATTATAGACAGAGCTTTTTATTATTTCTAAAATGTAAGTAAATATAAAGAAYCTAATATTCTGACTCATTTGATAAAAACATCTTGATCATCATGATACGGATGGCACCACATTCAGAATGATTACCATGAAAAAAAGCTGATTTTTCCACTGTTAGCTACCATGTTGAAAAGGTTAAACTATGAGAAATTGCAAGATATTTTTCCCATTGYAACTCCATACTTTTGCTTCAAAGCCATCAAGCAGCACAAGTCAGTAGCATGGAGATGACGAAAAGAGGTCAAACAACAGAATTAAAAACCAATGCTGTGGAAATTGACTGTTGTTGCTGTATCAATGTTGTGGTACCAATAAAACACCTTGGAATATTCCAAGTATTGCATTCTAGGTAAACGTTGAGAATTTTTAGCTCATGCACTGAGAAAGAAGAGTTTACCAGCAATCACCCCTTCCAAAAATTCCCATGTATTCAGTAAGTTTTGTTATGATTTTAAAGAGTATGACCCCCCCCAATGTAATATCAACTTTACAATTGCCCTAATGCCGGACTTGTTAAACACAAACATTGTAAATTGCTTCCTAATGTATTACATTTAAATCTCTTTAAGGCTGTCTATAAAAGGATGACCTATATTTTTATTTCTTTCATGAAAAAGGATCATACACATACTCAATGATTTGACTTAAATTAGAAATTATAAAAATTTAAATTCACCAAACCAAAAGAAACCAGTGTTGAAATGGAAAATAACCCAGCTTTGGTTATAAAGACTGGCTTTTACAGAGTCTTCACTTTCTGAAATGCCTGTAGAGAAGCAACATAGCAGCAAGTCGGAGAAGAAGGAGAAACCTATAGTGCTCAAATACTTAGTATTGAATCAGAATTTTCAGGCTGAGAATTTTAGGTGCTGCAAGACATGCTAAACCTCTAGAGAAATTTATCGCACCTCCAAAAGGTATTAAACACTGTGCAGCAGAAAAGGTACAAATGACTTTAAGTGTAAAATATAGACAGGTAGTTTCAACAGCCAAAGCATGGTTATCTGCAATGACTGGTTCAAAGAATCTGCCATATTTCCAGATGTTCTCCTGCATCTATGACTCTCCTTAAKCCAAGAACAGGAAACAAATAAACCCTAGGAAAAATGTTAGAGGAATCAATAGAAGGCAATGGAAACAAACCTATGAATCCATGTTTCTGGACTCTTTGGAAACTTGGTTAACGCCAGTTTTCCAAGATGCAAATCTTTAAGTGGATTTAAAGTGCCAGACTGTATTAATTCTTTCCTACAAAAGACAAAATAGATCTGTGTGAATAAAAATAGCAACCTGAAAACAGAACACAAATCCCAATAACAAACTGCATTTCCTTTGTATCATAACAGAACTTCACTGTCACGCTACAAGAGTTTAAAAATACTTTGGTGGATTAACCCCTTCCACTACTATGCATATGTGCACAAAGAGCTTCATCTTAATCTGAACACATACAACCCATTAATTCTCAAACCTACCCAGGAATCACTGAGTCAATTGCCACTAGGCTTAAAAGTATGTATAAACATTCCTTTTTGAAATGAAGCCCTTAGATCATTGTGTACATTGGAGAATACTCTTACTCATAGCACTCCTCCACACTTACTCTGCGCTTTTAAATATTGTTCAAGATACAGTGTCAAGGTTCCCTATATTAATAAAAAAAGGAAATATTCTCTGTGTGTAGAATGCTTTACAAACTTAAAAAAAGGCTGAAATTGCTAAGTTTACTTAAATGTAAAACAATCTTTGGTTTTAAAAAAAATAAAGATTACCCTGACAAAACTTAATGCTCATCCAACACAATCTTCCCAGAGCACCTCCAAAGCAGATAGAACAAAATATAAGTCCATATTTGGCCTTTTCACCTCCTTTTCACGGAATTCCCTACCCCTCACCCTCTTCTTTCTAGCTTTATAACTCTTACTGCCTGTCCTGAGCATGTGTGCAGACATCACTCCATCTCTGGTTACTCCAAGGGCATTAGTATTCATATCCCATTCTCCAATCTAGTAGAAAGCAGCTTTCAAGTAATCTAGTAGAAAGCAATTTTGAAGTCAAGATATAGTAAGTTCCAAAGTTACCATCTGCAGAAAGAAAACACACATTTCCCAGAACTTGCAGAAGTCATAACTGAAAACTGAGATTGCCAGAAGCAGAARTAGTTTTGTCATGGGTTTCTTGCTCTGATTTGGTTTTTCTAATAATTTCTGATTCACCATAATGACAGGCATGGTACTGGCATGTGAGGAGCAGATTATCAGCTTTCTGACCAAAAGACCCTAGTGGGACAGGAGGAAATGTATTCTGGAAAGATTTGCTATCAAATAAGGCAAAACATCTCTGCAGTCTGACACAGAGCACATAATACTGTCCTAAAGTTATGGCCTGGGTCTCACAAACAAATTGATATATTTCCTTACTGTGAGTGCCATTTTCTGTGTAACTTTCCTTCTGAACTAGTTTTCAGAAGGAAACTCACTCCATCTGGTACTTTGGCTTTGTGTTGCTGTAATTGAACTTTATAACCACAGTCAGAAGCTAATGGTTGTACCACTAACGGTGAGCAAATGTTATTAAAATTGAAGAAAAGTGGGAAAAAGTAAAAATCCTTATGGAAGTTTTGCTTCTTACAGCTACTGGGACATTTGTTTTTATTTCAACCGAGTTTTAGCATGCTTCAGATTGGATGCTTTTAGCCAATTTTTAACAGGCAGTTCAAATATACCAACCAGAAGTGGCAGACTGACCAGACCGCTCTGTGCCAGTGCATTCACTTCTGGAAAGCAGACAAAAACAAAGATTCAAGGTCAGCACTGAAGCACATGGAACAATTAACTTCAACAATTCACTTCATTACTGTAATTCAAGAGGTGACGTTTTGGTAAAAATGACTTACCACACACACRGAGAATGAAAATACAGCCYAGATCACTCTGACACTTAAAACAWATACATGTACATATGTAACAAATATTTAGATTACCAGGCCACTTACYTCCCAAAACCTTAACTTGCAGTGAAGAAATTGCTTCTTCTATATTACAACATTAACTCAGAGTAAATAGGCTCACATTTACATACACTTAAATTAAACGTCCTCTTTGGCAAATTTGAGGAACAGTACAGACAAGAAACGCTTTCAGTGCTGTAGCAGAAAAGCTGGGTTTAGCTTTATTTTCAAATGAGAAATTCTCCCAGTCACAAAGGACTGCAAGAACAGGTATGACTGATGTATCATACACTCCCATGTAAACCTCTTCCAAGCTCTTTCAGCTAACATCCAGCTTGGGATTTGTAATTTCTAGCTCACTTCCTTGCCATRTGGATCATAATTTTTCAGCCTTAAGGATTATAGCTCCCATAAAAGATAACCTGGAATCATTTTGCCTTACGCTAACACCTTTGAAGTCATTTCTACCTGATGGCAAAATGTTTGACTTTTCATTTGTTACCTAAATGTCTTTTGATTAATTGTACATACCGCAATGTACAACAGGAAGAACAAAGGCATTTATGACAACTCCTTTACAATCCACTTATATAAAAATTTTGGTTATTTTATCTTGCAAGACTTTTCAACTTCCAAAAATACAGGATAACTGAACTTAGAATTAACAACTGGAGTTATCCCTTATCCCACTCAATATAACAGGCATTTCTCTCTCAGTTCTCCAAAGTGGCACATCCCGTATTCCTTAGCACATCTTCCTCTGCCATGCAATTACCTCTTGCTCACGACTCAGGTTTTAGGTTATAGTCCCTGCACTTCCGTAACTTTCCAGACACTTCTAATGTAAATAAATTAGTAAACCACGAATGTATGTAGCAGTAGGTGCATTACAATTGTTTAGAATAGCTCCGAAGTCAGAATAGACTATCTCCTTCTAACTAGGCTAGTTAACATGTTTAAAGTTCTGTCTTCTCTTGTGCTTCATTAACCAGATAGAATTTTCTATGATTGTCAGCTAAATTGAAATGCTCATTTGTCTTCCCTAACACCATGCTACTCTTCTGACTAGGCTCTGCCAAGTCCTGTGCTCTTTCCTAGGAAGTGATTTCCTTTTCTCTCTCTTCCTCTATCTTCAAGTTCAGTGCCACTGAGTCAACCACTATATCTAAAGCTCTCAGCAGACTTAAATATACAAAAAACAGATTATCCCAGCCTAAAATGAAAGAGTCAGTAAATTACAAGAAACACACTCTGTGCGCAGGGCTGCTATTCAGTAAACAAAACACTTTTTTTTAGGCTACTTAGAGTCTATAATGCTTTTTTTCCCTTCAGATAAAGCAGTGAATTTGTGAATGGAGAATGCAAGATGAACCTGGCAAGAAAAACATCTTCTGCACAAGATTAAACCAATCATCATGCACACAGATCCTTCATGCTCTGCAAGCCGAGTGTAAATCTCATACAACTAGTTCTCAGCTCGGACTACCTCAGGATAAGGATCTATCACCAGCATCTGTACAGAATACCATCCGTCCTCTATTCTGTGCCTGATTATGCCATACATCTGGCTAGCTTGACCTCTAATTTCACAGAGAAGCTGAAATGTATGTCAGCRTAACAAAAGTGCCTACTCTTCAAAAGAGCAAACTCCCAACAGGAACCTAAAACAGTGYAGGGTCAGATTCAGCAAAGCAGTTTCTTGGCTAGAGCAGGCTCACTGGTACTGTCCACAGATACTGACTGGATTGTGTAACAAGAACTTTCCTCTGGATGCTAAACAGAGCTTCACAGAGACTGAAATGACCAAGAATTTGGRGAGTAAGGCCACCTTCTGTAGTAATTTATGTATTTTGTTAAGTCMTAAACATCATAAAAGAGAAAAAAACCCATCCTCATTCATATTCTTTAACATTTTTTATTCCTCTTACAACTTTGAACTACTCCTTTCATGCACATAAAAGCTAACTCAGCCATCACACTGAAAAAAAAACAGACTAATAAGGATGAACATATTTGCAATGAAAAAATTCCACRAAACACAAACTAAAAACCAATTATAAGTACCATAAGATTACTTTAACAGCTCCAATACTTATACAAGCTCCTAATTCCATTTTATCACTTGAAAGCTACTCAAGCTATACATTTTCATGACAGTAAACCCTTTGCTATCACATTCATCCCCCTTTTTTTAGACCTGAGATGACAGAAAGATACAGGCCACAGCAGAATCCTTCAGAACTACATCAGCAGTGAAAAAAGAAAAAAGAAAAAAGCTGAATTTGCCATAACTAGGGCTGACAAATAGACACAGCCATCATCTTTCTAGGTCATTTTTTTAATGCACCAACTGCAAGAGTGTACCTTAGCTACAGAAATCCTGTTTTCATGAATGCATTCCTAGAGACTATCATAATTTTGTCAGCCCTCCAGCCCTTCTGAAAATATAGCTTTAAGACTGTCTCCAGTCTTACCTAGGCAGCAAAAAGAGAATATTCCTCCAACTCTGAGATTAACAGAAAAATCATGAGGTCACAAAGTTGTGAGGAACTGCTGTTTCTGCACTTCCTGAAGAGGAAGGAGRTAAATCTCTGCTCCTCCTCCATCATGATTCCTGGACAACTTCTGCAGCAGGACAATGGTGAAGCTATACTAAACCCAACAGGTATGAGAAAGGTGAGGGGACAGGGGAAATGTGTTTGAAATAAAGGGTAAACACCTTCCCCCCTTCTTCTGCAGTATTATCTACTGAGATCTATTCAGCTTTTATAGGCTCCACTGGCAGCRGCAGCAAACCGAACTGGAATCTCAAAAGAACTCAGAGATAAAAATTAAAATAGTGAATATGCATAATAGACATTATTTGAGCACTACCCTCATTAACTGGAGGAGGAAAGAAGGGTGGCAGTTCAAGATGATTTATACACCTTGAAAACATAGTGCAAACATGTGCCTTCACATGCTGCACTGTAATCTTTAGTCTGCACAAAAACAAACCAACCAACCAAACCAAAAAAATGCAAAAAAAATCCCACACCCCCCCAAAAAACCACAAAAACCAACCACCAAAAAAAATCAAGTTTAAAAAGGAAAAAAAAAAAAACAACCAAAAACCCCCACAAACAAACAAACAAACACCCAAACAAAAAAACCAAAGGGCAGTCTCAAAACTATCTCCCACATATAGGAAAGAAGAAATTTTTAGCATTCCTTTAGCACTTCTTAACTGACAAGTTCTTGCTGTGTCATTAATTACCACTTGAAACAAAGCTTTCAGCTGACTCATGTAAGGCCCAGGTCGTTCTGATGACATTTTCTGAGTGCAACATACCTAACATTCCAGGCAGTGGTGAAGTCGGGATTCAGCAGTAGCAGGGTACACGTGATGTCTATCAGCTCTAAAACAATGGAACAAGAGACATTAMAATTAGTAATAATTTGCACACAGCACTGATCTCGCTGTAGTAGCTTACTCCCTCTCACTCCTCAAAGTCTCTTTGCTACAGGTTGCTGTACCTGTGGATGACCACCTCTGTAAAATATTGCCCTGCCTCATTACAGAAAAAATGCTAGCTAGGAGTAAAATATCCTCCCTTTTCATTATTTAAAATAATGACAGTATGTCCTCAGCAAGGAAAAATCATGATATGGAATCCTTGAGTATTCAGTAATTTTAACTGCACACACACTATATATGAGAAATAGAATTCTTCAAAGAAAATCCGAAGAGTTTTAAATACTATAGTAGAAATTAAAATATACCCTACTATTTCAGTACAAGCCTGAGCTGCAGATGGCTGTSATACACCATACTGTTACAAAAAATACACACTATAAAAACCTGTAGCTAAAAAAATGAAACACCACAGCCATGAAACAGGATTACATAATTTCTCTGCTGTTGAACTGTACAGAAAACACTTTAAATACATTGTGAAGTGCTTCAGATTGAAGTTTTAAGATTAATTCAATTTTATTAATTCAATAAAAAATCCCTAGCAAAAACCAGAATATTTGTTTGTATCCCTGCATTTAAGCACTGTACACTGTAGATTTACACATTATTTTTAACTATATCATAAAAACTGAATGTGACTATCCAAGCTTCTATTGTCAATTAAATCTAGCTACATTCTCCTCTAATCACCCTGCATTTAACATACTAATTAGATTGCACTTCAGATGATTTCCAGCAAATAAGAGGTACTTCATAACTTGACGGAAAAAGATGGTATCTCATGGAAACAGATCTCTGGTTAGTGCAGTTAATATGACTGTAAAATGAAATGTCAGGAAGTCACTGACAAAAATCAACAGTAATGGAACATAAATTAATTCAAAATGCAAACAGACATGGCTTCATTAATCTTTGAAACAAGAGTCAATACTTAAGTAGGTCAAAAAGTGAAAACCTTTGTATTTTACTGTATGACTGATTGATCATCTATGTACAACAAAGTAATTTTGTATTTTTCCATTATGCCCTTTCACATGAGGAACGTGATAAGCCACCGTATAATGCAAGGGGTAATGGGTAGTATGGAATTCTTTAGTGTACTGCTGACTTTCCACTAAGCTGTGATGTTTTGAAAATTGTCTCAAGAAACAAACTTAATGTTTTAGTTTCACAAGTTTTAGTTAAATCCYTCTTTGCTTCCAAGGAATAAATATTTCTCATATGCACAAAGCTGCTTCCTAATTTGCTGCCTGAATGCACAAATATTTTCCCTTCCTTTACCCAAGTCCTGAACCAGCAAAGTATTTCAACACCCATTTAATTTTATGCAGCTGAATACYCCAATTTAAATAACCAGGATTACTCACACACATAAAATCAAATATACATTAAATTAAACATCTGCTAAGTGTTTTGTGGCTACTGTTTCAATTTTACATTCAAAAATCAGTTTGGCAACATTTAATAAAACATGAGTTTTGTAAGGATGTATAGTTAAAACTGGGAGCGGCAATTCATGTAGTTTCCATTTTACCTACAATAATAGTCTTAGTAATTATTATGCACTACCCCAGTACACATTCTATACACATCAAGCAAAAGTTTACTACAGCCTATATCAGATTTCTGAATACCTTTTAGAAAAGWTTTTCAACGTCTACTTAGAACAATACAGTTTATTTATCCTACCAAGTCATGATTTCCAGCTAAAATGACTATTCTGGGAATGTCAAAGGTCTGTAACAGCACCCAGTCAAGTCAACTTGAATAGAATTCGTTAATGTTTTGTCCATTTTCCCATTACGGAGGTTCACTGCATCCTGAACATTATCAAATGAAAGATGCAGATAAAACGAAAACCTCCAAGTAATGCCCAATTCTTTCATGTCAATAGTCATTGATGTAAGTAACAGATAAAGAAGAAGTGTGGATTCTGAGCCAGACATGTGAAATGCCACCATTTAGTAACCTTTAAGCACTTTTTAAAAGAAAGTCTTATGACACATCTGGCACACAATAATAGCAGCTGCCWGCTATTGCCCCATGTCGGTAACAAAAACAACATCTTTTATTTACAATTTAAAATTACTTTTAACTAGATACATTTTARGCAAACTACAGCACTATAGGTGGTCACACTGAACACCTTCTTTTGCACACCAGTCTCCCCAGCTGCAAAAGGATAAGTAAAACAATATGATTTTAGTACTTTTAAAATATAGCTACATCCAGTTTCTTACATATTCTGGGATTAGTTTGCAACAATTTCAGAAAACCATCTTGACATAATACAAATAGTATGCATGCACAAATTTTAAAAATATTGGAGAAAGGATAAAAACACACTGTAAAATTCAGATTTCTAAACTGAAATAACAGCAAAAGGAGCAGTCATGATTCTGGAGTCCAAGTAGCTAAAAGAAATTGTAACTAAATTAAACATCTGCGTCACTGACCTATCACTGAATGACTATAAAGCACCTCCTTCTTCCAGGATCCGGTCAGAAGAAATATCAGACACCAGACCTGAAAGCAGACACTTAAAGCAGGACCCTGTTTTCTCTTCTATTTTAAAAGGCTTACTGTGATTCAAACAAAACAGAAGAGGTAAATAGATACTACATTTGCCATCACTGTTACTACAAGCATCAATAGAAGGTACAATTGAGTTCTGAAACATTAATAGACAAACCTATCTGCTTACTAGATGCAAAAGAAAACAACTACTCTGCCAAACTCCAAGCACGCACTTTCATCTACAAAAGCAATCAGGAGCCAAATCTTCGAGAATACTTAAAAGAAAAATGCAACATCTCTTAGCAGAGTAGACATGATGCATTAGAGAGAAGTCTCTAAGTCCACCTGGGAAGGACTTTCACCTTCATTCTCTCCACCACTGCAGCTCAGTTTCTGCTAAACCTTTCTATCAAAGGTGAAATTCRGTTATGGTAAAACATACTGAACTCCTTTACAAACAGGTTATTAACATGAAGGCTCTGGTTTTACAGTGGTGACAGAAAACCTCAACAGACATGAAAATGCTGTAGATCACCTATGCTCACATTTTTGAAAATTACTTTTGTAACTGAAGACACAAAGCAGAATGGAGTTTTATTTTCAAAAGAAAGCCAAACAAGTGGCAGGCATTAGTCTAAAATTCATGCTACTATGGCATTCATAAACAGTTTTCTGAGCTGCATTTTGAGAGGAAGGGTTCTGCAAGGTTTCGCCCCTGAGGGAAGCAGAGGCCTGCAGACACCATCCCGGTGGCTCTGGTGGGTGTGAAGTGTCACCACAACAAAGTACTTGCACTGCTGTGACTGGAGCAGGGCGCTYGCGCACAGGTATGGCTGTCAGCCATCTTCAGACATCCAAAAACGTGACAAATCTCAGTGTCTGTAGTTTGGTTTGAAATAAGTTTCTCTCTGCATGGAAACCTCATTGGTGAGACTTTACCCAAACAGTTGAGATCAAAATGAAGTCTCCCTGCTGAAGATCTGGAGCGTAACAATACACACCAAAACTCCTACTCAGACCTCCAAAAAGCACTACAGTGTGATCTTCTGGTCTTGCTAAGACTGCCTGTGCTAGTAGGTTCAACTTTTTAAATGCTAAAGTTTGTATCTAGCTCTGTGTCAGAGTCAACATTAATTATAATCCCTATATTAAARCTCTTTATATTAAATACTGTAATTGTCTGCATTACAAGTGACAAATGTGGAATGATGTCACGATCACCAGCTCCTATCAGAATTGAATAAATCAGCAGCAGCTTGGGGGCAGTTACCAAAAAGCTCCTGGTCTGAATAGGTCCAACCATAAACCACAGAAACCAACAAGAAATGGAAGCTACTTGTGTTAGCAATACGCTTTCCCTAGGAATAGAGCTATTAAATATGTCCATAGTGATAAAAAATACTAAAGAAAATAAAACATGTGAAAATAAAAAATAAAAGGCAATGTAACATTTACAAATTTCATAAAACACCTTTCCTAGATAACCACATAAGAACATCAACCCTCTGGAAGGAGCGTGGGAAACACAATGATACATGAACAATCTGTTAAGACAAAACTAAAATACAATCAACAGGTCAGTCATATTCAGCAACATATGAAAACATTTCAACTTCTTTAAGCTACTCTTTTGAAGGGTAATTAAAGATCAAGCTGGTGCACTGTTACTCTGACCCCACCCAAGGCACACAGCTAGCACTGGAATACTCTGTGTAGCCAGTAGAATGGGTTCCTCCTACTCACGGTCTGCCTTGTCTGCCATTTCATGCCACTCTTTACAAAATGACAGCATTATACATCCATCCGTTTATAATAAGGAATCAAAGTGTGTTTAACAAATCAAAGCGTGTTTAACTAATCTAGACTCCACATCAGGATGACAAAAGTAGGCAACACTCACTGCTTCAAGATGTACTCATTCCAGGGTTCACTAAACACCTCAATCCTTTTTCTCCGTATCATCCCTGAATGCAAAAGCAGCTCAAGTGCATATTTACAGACTTGACCAACACCATCTGACAAYGCCTTACACTACACTTTAATGAGGATCAGTGCACAGCTGGCTTCATCCACTTGCAGTGAAACAGATTATAGCAATAAAGTACCGAACAAGGGAAAAGCAGAGATCCAAAGAGCGACTGGACTGACCAGACAGCTCTTCCTCATCTACACAAAAAAAACCTACTCTCACCTACTCTCAAAACCTACCTACCCAAAGTAGTACACCATGTTAGTTACAACTAGGTGCTACAGTCTGCACCAGACGTATGCTACTATCCCACTATTCAAAATGTAATTCTTTCACTCACTATTTCATAAAGCAGCCAGGGAGACTGCCTTTGCTATAGCTGCAATCAACACAATCACAATGAATGGGGGCTGTTTGGTATGGAAGGGAAGACTATCTCACATATTTTAAAGCACAATGGACACAGTCAGTGTTTTATGGACAGTTTAGTTACACCTAAACAGAAAAAAATTAAAATATGGTAACAGTCCCAAACTGAAACCCAACTGTATGTGAAATACGAAGGATCTGAACCGTGAGTGGTCACAGGGTGCCCYTCAACAGATCAGACATCCCTCTTTCTGAGACACAAAAATGTGAAAAATACTAYAGCAGGTAAAAGATACTAGAAAGAAGTCTCTAAAAGGAAAAACACCACAAAAAGACGTTGAGATAAGCCCAGCACAAGAACATTATTCATTCCAACTGCTACTTAGAAGATACTGCAACAATAAGCAAAAAACTTGTTTCCTAAACTAGTTACTCTTTTTCATTCTTATTCTGAACAGGACAACTTTTAAGAAGTCAAATACCTCCTAAGTCACACCCGTTCATAATTTTTTATTTTGAATTTTATTAAAGAACATATACCAAAGAATTTTTCATGCAAGTTAAAACAAATTAAAAAGCAAACCRAAACAAAGAGATGAGAAAGTAAATAAAACTTTACAATTATCAAGCAGTAGAGACTCATGACTTTTTGTACTTCTACATCTGAAACATACTGCACTCGTTTGTTACTTTAGATATAKAAATCACCATGTTTTCCAGCAAAACAGGAGAAAATACCTTCTGTATCAACTAACATCACCTCCCTAAATATACAGCTCCCKACAACTATATGAAATAAATAACTCACTGAAGTAAGCTGTCTCTCTCTAGCCTTTCCAGGTCGGACAAGAGAGAAAAAAATTGTATTTTCAACTGAATGATCCCATAACTTGTTTAAGCTGTTAAGATGCACAACACAAAGCCTGCTCACCTCCATAACCATCATTTCTTCTAGAACAGGTTAAACTGGCAGTAAGAAGGGTAAATTATCCAGACAAGGGCATTGAGTGCACCCTCAGTCAGTTTGCACATTACACCGAGCTGGGTGGGAGTGCTGATCTGCTGCAGGGTAGGAAGGCTTTGCAAGGGGATCTGGACAAACTGGATCGATGTAGGAGGCTCTGATGGGCCCTGCCCCTGGGTCACAACACCACCATGCAACACCACAGGCTTGGGGGACCGTGGCTGGAAAGACACTTGGTGGAAAAGGACACAGGGGTGTAGGCCAGAACCAGCTGAACATGAGCCAGGAGCATTCCCAGGTGGTCAGGAAGGGMATCCTGGCTTGGATCACAAGAGTGTGGCCAGCAGGATCACATCAGTGATTAACTCATTGGGGCACTGAGGGGCTGGAATGAGTCCAGAGAAGGGCAACAGGAGCTCAAGTGTTAYGAAGATGAGCTGAGGGAGCTGGAGGTGTTTAGCCTGGAGAAAAGGAGGCTTGGGGGAACCTTATTGCTCCTTACAACTATATGAAAAAAGATTACAGTCAGGTGAGCGTCACTCTCTCCTCACAGATAACAAACAATAGGATGAGAGAAAATAGTCTCAGGCTGCGTTGGGAGAGGTTTACACTGGATATGAGGAAACATTTCTTCACTGAAAATGTGGTCAAAATTGGAACAGGCTGCCTGGGAAGTGGTAGAGTCACCACCTCTGGAGGTATTTTAGAAGACATTGTAAACACAGCACTCAGGAGCATGGTTTAATGGGGAATTGGCAGTGCCAGTGCCGGCTGGACTCAGTGACCTTAAAGCTCTTTCCGAAACTAAGTAATTCAACAAAAAATAAAAAATGTGTACTAAGAATCACATAATATACTCTTTACCATCTCAGAACTTACCATCTTTGTTCAGCCACTGTTTTCTTTGTCTGTAGAGGAGAAGTTTATTGTGGACATATGGTAAAAGAAACTTCACACACCAGCTCTCCACACCAAGTTTGTTTTCTACCAGGACAATGGGACTCCGGTTATACCTGGCTTCAGGACACGGTATTAATCCAATTTCATCTCTWAAAAAACAGAAAGAAATATAATTATTTCCAGAATGTGACAATTATTTTTCTCAACAGAGCATGCTGACAATGCTTCCCAACACAAAATTCCATCATTTTTTCCCTCATCTTTGCTGAAATCTGTAATTTGAAAAATTTTAGTCGGTTTTCACAGAGATCTTACATGAGGAAGGCCCCTTTTCTTCTGTTTTTAGATTATCATCTAAGCAGTTTAACTCAGCTGAATCAATACATGCACCCCTAGCTCATTGTAATAACCATGCAACAGAGCTGTAACCACTGCTTCTGCAAGGGAAACAAAAAATTAACTAGTACAGACACCTGGCTGACCAAAAGCTACCCAGGTGTGCCCTGCAGTAGCGTGACCAGGTGCACTGAAACTAAAGATCACAGAGAAGAAAATCATATAGACAGCCATATGCTCTCTTCCATGTGTCCCATTTTTCATTGTCCCATACAAAACAGCATGATCAACAGGGGTAAGGTTTGAGACACAGAGGCCARTCTGATTAAATTACAACTCTGTACAAGAAACTTTAGTCAAGCCTCTAAAAATACAGTGACAAACACAAGCATTTGTACCAGCAAAAAAAAGAAGAGACTCAGCTGTTTAGTATGGGCCATMCCATAATTTACTTTTACCTCAGGTTTTTTCCAGTATGTTGGAATGGCAGCTTCAGCAGCTTCTTAAAAATAAACACAGCTCATCAAGAATTCACAGAAAGCAACGTTATTTTTTACTTTCCATTATGTGCCGTTTCTCCACCAACTCCCATTCACTGGAAAAATTTGTTGCTACAGAGGGAAATCCTCAGAMCTCAGGCAGGACAAAAAAGATTTCTTGTGATCTCAGAAAGTAAATTCTCCATCTTAAAACTACTCAATACAAGATCTACAGATACATTTTGAGTGTCAGCCCCTCAACTTCAATTATCTTAAATAAATTTTGTTACTAGGTGCCCTGAGTGTGCTGTCCACTCACTGAATTATTATAAAGTAATCAAAAGCAGCACAGTGTGCTTGTTTAAGAATATATTTGCTTATTCAGAAAACAGCTTTATCTTTCATACATCACAACAGACATCACAAAGAACACAGGTAAGGTGAACTCAAGTTAAGACACTTGTAAATCATGTGKCTCTGCCTCCAAACACACACTCTGGACCCTTTAGCTTCCCTGGTCAGCTGAGAGTAGACAGAAGGAAAAGCATTCTCTACAGCAAGCAATGGGTATCAAACCAAGATCCTCATCTGTTCTGCTCCATTTAACACAAGTGAAGCTCTTCAAGAAGCTAGTAAGATTAAACCTAAAATGACATTCCAGTCTCCTTCTTTCAACACAGTATCTTAACAGCTTGAAGACTGTACTCACTGCTGGGTCTCTCTTCTCTGAAAATTAAACCCAGCCCTTGGCCAAACTTTGTCTGGCCTTGCATACAGGGTCATGAAAATCTCCAAAAGCAATAAAGATGCAGCAATGCACAGCTTGGCTAATTAACTCTGTGAATTATCACAACAACTGACCAGCTATAACTTACAAACAGTATACCAAAGGTAAACAGTAAGGAGAGRAAAAAAACCCACAGAATACACATTCACACCTTTACCTGTTACCAAATGCAAAAAGTCTGACACCAGTGARCTAAGTTTCACAATACTACTTTGAACGTGCAAAAACAACAGGTACATTTTGCACAAAGTGACAAGTCAGCCTGAAACAGTCTGGTACTGGAATGCACTCTGGTAGCCAAAATCAAAGAGAACTAGACCCATTGCATAGTGAAATGCACGAAGACATAATGCAATACAAAAAGGGTTATCTGGTAACTGCTCAGCTTTTCCRAAGATGAAAACCAGGATTTGTCATCTGGTAATGATGGTACATTTTGATATTGTTTTTGATGATTCACGAGGTTAAGAAAACATATCAAATTCAGCTCCTGAGAAACAACAGAATTCACAATGCAAAACACAAGGGACACAGATTAATCTAAGGTGGGATGTCTACCTCACAAAACAATTTATTCAAAGCACCATCTATTTCTGCTCCTGAAGGTCCCTCAGACCTGCAGAAGGAGCAAGTGACAACGCAAGTCTAGCAGGAGACATTACTAAAGAATGCCAGCAATGTCTCCTCCATGATGTACTCAAAGAAAGTTTCTGCAGGACTCACATGCAGACACTGTTTAATTAGTGCTTGTGAAATGAAGTGACTGACCATGCAAAACATCGCAGGCCATATGATGGAAGTTGTGCCTGTTCATGTGACAGAACTGCCCAACCCACTGCAGAATTGACCAAAATGCCTGCATTTAGGTCAAGTGACAGGTGCAAAATGCTCACAATACTGAAGGAGACACCAACTGAGGGCTGCTGTTCATTCGTGTTTCACTAAAGCCAGTCTAAATGAGTTCTAAATCAGTCTAAAGGAAGATGCAGTTTCTCTCCCCAGATTTTCCAGTTTTCTGATATTGTGCCTTGAAGTTTAGGAGTCATTTGGTGCTTTTACTTTCCTCAAAGCAGGCACCACAGTCACACTCCAAAGATTTCACAAATTATGTTCATATTTACAGGACACTACACCAGTTCACAGTCCTGACACACTGTATGGGAACAGCCAGAAACCAGTGAAAGGTTTTAGGTGAGTTGTCATGAAGTCTTCCGCCATTACAGAGCTTCTTTAACTAGAGCTGACATCAGAGAAGATGTGCAAAATGACATCCAGGAGACCTTGGAGCTGCAAAATCTAGACCTGGTCCACAGTGCAAACCTTAGCCATGACAGAACAGTACTGACAAGCCATTCCAAGAMCTGCTTCAAGAGTCCCATTCTGCTGACTCAGCCAGTCAATGACCCTCCCCATAATAAACCCTAGCAATCTGCTTTTAACTCCTAAAGCCATGATGATACAAAAAAGTTCCCTCTGTCACAAAACCATAACACCATAGTAGCATTAGGGACGGAAGCTTTTTGTGTGACACTACCAGGGGGGCATGCGTCTTCAGGATTAGGTACTCCATGTGGAGGGACCTTCTCTGATTTCTTTTCTGGAAAATCATCTTTAAAATAACCCAATCTCTCTAAGTAGTATCCTCAGATATTGTCACAAATGCTGGGCTACACAAAGGCTAAGAGTTCACATTGCCAGTTACACCCAACAAATGCATGTACTTTTTTGACAAGGTCATCTCTTTCTGCTTCACTTTACATGTAAAAGAACAGCAAATTTCAAAGAGRAAGTACACACTGATCTGCTCACTCTTGGTGATTGTTCAGGTCCACTAGGAGAACTCACACAGGCTTGACTTTATCAAGACCTATGCTTGGAAGACTGGGCAGAAACATTTCTCGGTAAATTTAAAAGAAGCCTTACAAAATTGAAAACTAAAATGCTGACACAGTTATCTAGCTGAAAATAAATGGAGCTACCRGAGAGTAAAGGCAAGAAGAATTTTGCATTGTATATTGAGTCAAAAGCTTATCTTAAAAAAATACACAGTCTTGTTGCAAATTTCATTTAAAGTGAAAAAAAGAGAAACATCAACCATCTGTTATATWTAGTCTATAACAGTATTTTCACACATTTTTTAGTGCTGTTCCCATTTTAAAACTTACAAAACTATGAACCTATCAGAACAAAACACCTATTCTGACACAGGTGGGTAAGGGTACAAGCAGCCAAAGCCAAGGGTCAGTATGCTGTAGAAGAGGTGAGCAGGAAAAAAAGTATGATGAAAAGGACCATTCATATATGTGGCAGATTTCTTATTTTCAGTGAAGCTAGGCACTTCCCATGTAAAAGAATTCAAACCTRGATCTGTAACATGCTGAACTCAGGAGGATACCACCTGTCAGGAACAGCAGCTGGACAGCAGCAGGAAGAGAAGACGCAGATGCACAAAAACACCTAGCCAGCCTGGCTGCAGCCTGATGCTCCCAAGGCATAGAGGCAGCACAGCAAAAGGCCCATAATCTACACTGGCCTGCAGAGTCCATTTAAGTGGTTTCAACCACTTCAGGGATCCAGYGGCCAGAATTGTCACTTTTTCTACTCTGAGGGATAAACTAGCAGTAGGTTGTGCTTCCTCATTTGAAGTATGTCACAGTGCATCAGTCTCCGCACACACAACTCTTGCAGCCTACCTTCCTCTCTGAGACTGCATCTATAAGGCAAAACWGCAATAGCAGCATATTTTTCAAAAACACAATCTCAAAGTTTGCTAACAATAAAGAATTCTGGCAAAGGAGTGGGACCCATGAAAAAAATCAGAACATTCATTCATAAATACTGGCCGTTTACAGCACATTATGCTTCACAGCCTAAAAATGAAGCTTCAAGGCAAATAACAGCCTTTTTTTAAATAGCATCCATATGCTGCATTTTAAAACCTGGCCACCCACCCAAATTGCTTACTACATTTAGAGAAACATGAGGGTATTCATTTTAATGTTCCCTTTTAAGCAAAGGGATAAATTAAGTGCCATAAAACTTTCCTACGCAATTGTTTAGCTTATCAGTTTCTGGAACAGATTAATAGGCCACCACCTCAGAGACTGCAATTTCCAACTGACACAAATACAACCTCACTTAAGTTATTAAGCTGATATTCATCATGCGCTATCTTATTTGCCACAACCAACATGGTGCTTGCATAAATAGGTTGAAAGATACTTCCCTGAACAGTTTGTATCTTAAAACAACGGCTGGGGAAATATGTTCTGGGAAACAGAAATATGGGAGGCACTTAAAACAGGGTCTCAACACTGGTCAACAAATGGAACTGAAAATAAAACACACCAACTGCCCCCCAGATTGCTGGATAAATCTGATTGTCACAAGACAGCAATTACTGTAGTTTGCACTTTCATAGGCACTCTGTCTCCCTCAAAACAACACAGTGAAAAGCACTGGCATCTCTTCCAACAGATACAGACTTGAAGGTGGCATTCACCACACTGCTCTGTTTATGCAAGGGTGCCATTCGGGAGGCTTCAATCCTGAGCTTTGTTCGCAGCAGCGCCAGAGCTCCGTTCCAGGCGCACAGGCAGCAGGCGCTGCCTCCTGCGGGGCTCGGCAGGGSAGGCCCACCCGCCGGGAAAGCTCAGCCCCATCCCAGCCGCGCGATGAGGGCAACACTGCCAAACACCGAGTTCAGAGGCGTCGCTTAACAACTTTTCCCTGAAGATACATTCATCTCTTGCCGCCTGCGGAGCCCTCGCTGGTTTCCGTGACTCGGTACGTTTCACGGGCCAGGCGGTTCTGGCCGGCGGGCCGCGGCCGCACGGATCTGCAGCGGCTCAGGCTCCCGGAGCGCGTCCGCGCCCGTGTCCCGGAGAAGCCGCGGCGGCAGGAGAGCACCGCGGACAGGGACACCGCGCCCTGCCCCAGCGAGGCACAGCCCGCCCGGGCCCAGCCCTCCCGCTC